TTGAATCCTGTGTGAGTCAGCTTTTGTACTCGCTCCGCCCACAGCACGGCGTCACGACTGCCGGTGGGGCTGTATGCCGAAGTCATGGCGGTGTTATGTGTAATATTCGTCCGGATCGGAGGTTCCTGATTCTTTCTTAACCGACACGTAGAGTAGGTCGCGATGGACTCGATGACCTGCACTGGAAAACAAAGGGAAGGCAGGTAGCCGGAAGTTAAACCCAGGCATCTAGTAAGAACAAATATGGACGAATAACGTATCGAGTGCCTGCTGACAAGCCGACATCAGAAAGTGGCCGAAGACCCGAGAGGCAACCAAGCGTAGTTTGAGCAGTTCGCAGTCAAAGTCACGACAACAGGAAAAGCGCTGGTTCTGCCGGGGGGGGGTTAAAACAACATGGCGCGTAGAGTTAGTTTGCTCCCCCTACTAACAGGCGTTGTCCTCAGCGCGTACGAGCCGCTTGGCTGGCTTCAGCCTGTCAAAGTTTACAACCGTTGAGGAAGCAAGAACTCCCGGCCTCATGATTCAATAAATATATCTGACAACACTTCTTCCACAACGAACGGTCCTTCCCAATTTTGACGGAGCTTCGAAGGGACGCCTGGTGGTGTTACTGTTGCTTTGAGCCAGACCTTATCACCGGGCTTGAACGCACTCCCCAAAGCCTTCCGGTCAAAATAAGCCTTCCGATGACGCTGCGAGTTTTGCAGATGCGCTTATGGCATTTGGTGTGCTCGCAACAGACTTGACTGTAACCGAAGTACATGCTCCGAAGCGGTTAGATTTTCATATTGTGACGTCGGTAGCAAAGTATCTGAAGGCAGACGCAGCTCACGACCCCACATCATGAGATGTGGTGTCTGACCGGTATATTTGGGCAGAGCCATGTCCCATTCCTGAGGAGTCTCGGTAGTCAGGAAAGCCTGTAATAGCGTCTTCAGCGTACGGCTCGTCCGTACAAATAGTCAGTTCCCATCCGGGTGGTAAGCAGTCGTACGTGTTCTCCGGATGCCGAAAATGGGGATACAGGGCGCTTGCTGGCACCCTGACACCTACAGTAGCGACTTCCGTCCTCGGACACGCCGGCATGGTAGCTGTGCATCAGAACGGTGATGCTTTGGTTATCCGTGTGCCTCCTCCTCCACCGACTGCCAACGGTAACGTGAGTCGTGCTGTAAACGAGTCCGAGGTCTCTGCAAGTGGTGATGCTCCGCAACGAACCGGTCGAAAAGATTCGCGAGAGTGTCGTACTCCTTCGGATGCAGCAAGCAATCCACTGAATCCTGTCGGATGTGTTCATTTGACCACTCTAGAAGTGGCGCGCTGCACCGCTATTACCGATATCGGGCTAACTGCGATTGCGCGCGCGTGCACTAAGCTCGAGAAACTCAATTTGGAAGATTGTGGCTTGGTTACCGATACCACATTGGCTCAGCTCTCAGTGCACTGTCCACATTCGAATAATTTAATTCTTTCGCACTGTGACCAAATCACTAACGAAGGCATCGCGCAACTGGCCGAAGCTCTTTGCAATTCTGTAAGAAGTTGCATCTTCCCATATCGCCACATAACCAAACGAAATAGCGCTGGTATTTGTTTAAAATTTCCTCCAATTCACTGCCGATAAGAGTCGGTAATTCAGCAGAAACCCGTTGAAGAAGTTGCTGCACGGAGGTCTCGGAAACCGCATAGGACACCACAGAGCAGGTCATGGAGACAAACGGTAGCATGTGATTGCCGACTTTCAGGGTTTTGTTGACCAAATCGACCTTGACATTGAACCGGGAATGAAAATCCACTCCCAGCACCACATCCCAGGTGAGGTCGTCCACTACAAAAACCCGTTGTGTCGCTGTCATCTCTCCTAGTTTAATCGTTGCTGTAGCCCAACCCAAGGATTTGATAACTGTCTTGTTGGCAGCCACCAGGTTCACAGAGATGTCTTGGAAAACAGTAGCGTCTGCCGGAACTACACGCTTCCGGACTAAAGAACACATGGCCTCGGTATCGATAAACATCTTAACACCTTTCTTCCATATCAACCCAGAGATCAGGGGAATGGCGAGCAGGTTGGCACCAGAAACGGTTGGCACAGTAAACGAACACCTTCGGGGCTTACTACGCTGTTTGTGCTCGCCAGTGTAAGCGGCCTTTTGAGACCTGTGAACTTGTGGGCCTTCTTGTCGTGGATGAAAAAGAGGAGGATGACTAATCCACCGAACTCTGTTACCAGACATTCGGGAGTAGGGATCGTTCTTGCGATCTGTGCGGATGGTTGAGTGAAGACGATGAGTGAAGCAGGTATCCGGAAGATATTGAGTGACCTCCGCACTTAGAGGCAACAGATTACATTTCGATTGCGAATGCAGTTGTTCTACGCCTTCGTAGCTGGTTGCAATCTCGACAGCTTCTGGCAGCGATCGCGGAGGCTTAAGGCTGGAGTTGGAAAGCAGCTCGTGGTTCTTCACCCCGAAACGAAGAAGGTGAAGGATTTTTCTAATTCTGCTTGTGATGCATAGGGAAAAGCATTTGCGGCTAGTTTCAGATGGATCGCAGCATATTTCTGAACATTTTCTGAAGGCAACTGTTGGCGAGCATAAAAAGATTTAAGAAACACGGCTGACGGGGTTTTAACTGCGTAGACTTCATAGACAGGACCAAATGCCTTTCGGTGGGCATCCTGCGGAAGCCGAAAAGCTAGTAGTTGGTGAGCAGCTTTGTCGCTGAGGAAACTCACGATATATTTCCAGTGATCACTGTGGGCTACGCCCGCCAGGTACTTTTGCATTCGAGATTCCCAAAGGTCGAAGTCAGCGCCGAGTGTAAACACAGAAGGTTCACGCAGAGCACGGTGACTAATTCCTACGAGACACGACATCGTGTATCCTGGAAGGGTCGCCAGTTATGTAATATTTGTCCAGGTCGGGGGTTCCTGGTTCTTCTGTAAGCGGCACGTAGAGTAGGTGGTAATGAACCTGATGACCCGCAATGGAAAACAAAGAGAACGCAGGTGGCCGGAAGTTAAACCCAAGCACCTAGTAAGAACAAATATGGGCAAATAACGTATCGAGTGCCTGCTGACAAGCCGACACCAGAAAGTGGCCGAAGATCCGAGAGGCAACCAAGCGTAGGTTGAGCGGGAATGGCTATAGCCACTCCCACTCAAGTTCAAGTCCGGGGGGCTGGAATGATAGGAGAATCCCGTGAGTGTTCCATCTTGAGTGTATCGTTGAGCCAAGAATTGATGAAGTGCTCAGAGTTCTTGATGGATCTAAAACGGAACACCCATATCGCACCCTGGCCAACCAGTTAATGCCCACGTTTCCTGCCCCAGCAGTCCCTGCTGTGGCGGTCACGTGAAGTAAGCAAACGAAGAGAAATCGAAGATACAGAATAAGGAAGTGCATTTGAAATAAGAAAATAATACCAATGAGCAAAAAGTAGTAAAGAAATCCGAAGTATGAAGATGCGAGTTAGGCAGGAAAAGATTGCGTGCTGCCACCCAAGGGCGTCAAGTTGGCGCGCAAACCCCATAACCGTAGATTCCCTGATAACACTTTCCGGAAGCATGTTCCAGCGGTCGATAACTTGGCGTGACAGCCAGATTTCCACCCTAATCCGATCGGACTGCGGTTTGTTCAGCTTCAAGGAATGACCACGTAGACCAGATAATCTAGCGGGACTGAATAGCCAAGCTAAATCTGGACCAACCTTCCCAGTTAAGATACGGTAGGTTAGGATGAGGTCTCCTCTAAGCCTTCGCTAGTGCACTGAATGCATTCCCAAACTAAGTAGACGGGCGGGGTGTGTCCGTCCCCGTAATCCCTCAACTAACCTAGTTCCCAACCGTAAAACCCTCTCTAGCTCCATTTTGTCCCGGACGAGGCAGGGCGGACAAGCCTAGACGCAGTACTCCAGATGAGGCTGAACGAAAGCCGAGAACAGCCTTGTAAAAATGCCGCCTGTCAAGAGTCCGAAAAAACGTCGTATTAACCACAACATGCGGAAACCTCTGCTTGCGGCTTTCTTCCAGTTGTGTGTAAAACCGAAGAGTGCACGACGCCTAGATCAACCTGGCCAGATACACGGGGGAGTTCGACTCCAGCGACCAAGTACTTCGCATAAGGACAACCCCCTCCTACGGTCGTATATCCTTACAACTATCTACTTCCGATTCTGACTGTCCATGTCTGCTGCTTCTACGCCCCATCTTTTACACCCTAGTATGACTACTAAACTACGGGAAGCCAACTAGTTCTTGGCTCATTTCCGTTTCACCCTAACAGTCCTACTTTGGATGACGATGCCACTCGCTCACAATCATCCGCCCGTCAAACAGTCTCATCCCTATACTACATTCCGAATATTCATTCGCCCATATAAATTACAATTCGCTACTTTCGATTCTGACGTTTATAAGCGGATTCTAGGTCCCTGCTTTTTACCATAGTACGACTGCAAAGCTAAGGAAAGCCACCTAGCTCGTGGCTCATTTCCGTTTCACCCTACAGACTTACTTTGGATTATTATGCCACTCGCTCACAAACATCCGTCCTTCCAACATGTTCATCTATACCAAATGCCAGATAATCATCCGGTCTTTTGCTCTTACAATTATCTACTTTCGATGCTGAAGGTTGTTATCTTCTGCTTCTGCTTTTCGTGTGTTTCACCCTAGAATGACGCCTAAGCTACGGAAAACCGCCTAGCTGCTGGAACATGTCCGTTTCTCCCTAACAGGCTTCCGATTGGATTGTGATGCTTGACGACCTCCTAGCATAGCAAGATTTGGTCTCCTCTATCCCGCCGCTCTCGTGTTTGATAGATTCCTAATTATTTATTTATGGGCGCTTAAGCGTCATCTGTTCATAGTTCATAGAGTTCACAGAGTTGTAGATAACAAAAGGGAAGACCCGTGTCAGCTCCATCACCTCCCGTTCATTGGTTGGATGACATGTTGTTAAACTGTGTTCCCCGAGGGATTGTTGCAGCTGCTCAACATGTACCTGTCCAACCGTTTTTTAAAACATTCCTCTGTCTGGGCACTTACCACACATTCAGGGAGATTGTTCCACTCATTCATAACCCGTGTGGATAACGTGATATCGGACAGGATATGGTTCCTCCGAGGTTCAAAAAGTTTCAAGCTGTGGCCCCGTGATGAACAATCTGTGTTGAACTGGAAGAACTGCAGCACCTTCCCCAAATCGTTCCTTAAAATGCGTCTAGTATAAATCAGATCACCGCGGTGACGACGGTAGTCCAGAGTAAATAATTTCATACATTGGAGACGAAGGGGATAAGGTAAAACACGTAGCATAGACACAGACTTGGATCCACGCCTCTGAACCTTCTCAAGCAACTCATATTCAAATTTCATTAGTGGGTGTATGGCAAGTAGGCCGTATTCCAGCATTAGACGAACGTGGGAGGAAAACAGTAGCGTGAAGTTCTGCGGAGTCAATTTGTAGAACGACCTTCGTATGGCACAGAGCATCCTGGTGGCAGATGCTACCTTCCGCAACGTGTCCTGGGTTGTTCTTAGGTCTGGAGAAACAAGTACACCCAAATCCTTCTCACCAACCACATTCTTCAGCAGAAATCCACCGATGTGGTAAGCACCGAAAGGTTCCTGATCACCGATCGGGAGAACATAGCACTTATTACGATTGATAGACATTTGCCACTTGACCGAGCAATCGTGCAGCAGATCGAGCGTCAGTTGCAACCTGTCAGCATCTTCAAGCCTGGATACTTCCGACCAAAGTTTAAGATCATCAGCACAGATCAAGCAGTCGATTTGGAGCACCTCCGGGAGATCATTGATAAAGATTTTGAATAGTTCGGGACCAAGAACGGAGCCTTGTGGAACCCCACTGGTCATAAGAACAGGACCAGAGTCAACTTCGTTAACCCTCACATTCATACTACGGTCATCTAGGAAATCTGCGATGCAGGCGAGCAAATTACCAGCGATGCCAATCTGCCGAAGTTTGATAAGAAGTCGCTTGTGTGGAACCCTATCAAACGCCTTGCTAAAATCCACAAAAACTACATCAAGGCGATGATCAGCATCCACTGACCGCTCACTTTTCTCGGGCAACAAGCAGATTGGTAATGCAAGAGCGTGCCCTCCGAAATCCGTGCTGAGCAGGAGATATGACGTCCAGTTTCTCACAGTGAAGATGCAAGGCCTGTATCAAAATCCTTTTCATGGTTTTACAGAGGACAGATGACAGGCAAATCGGTCGGTATTTCACTGGGTCTTGGCGATTCCCACCATTACATCGGTTTCACATCAGCTTTGCATTTAGTTGAAAGACGACCTGCTTCAAGTGAGCTTCGAGATACTTGACAAATTGGTGCAGCAATGAACTCAGCCACCTCTCTGAGGAACAAGGGATGTAAGCCATCGGGACCCGGTGAAGAATTCGAGTTCAAGTCGAGAAGCAGTTCCAGTACTTTGTCAGTGGTAATTTCAACATGCTCTAATGGAGAGGGGTGATAGGGAGTGTCATCATCATCATTATACACGTCAGCTAGAGGTGGGAAAATACCTCCGCTATTGTGTGCTCGACAACTAATGGCGCCGCCGTCGTATACACAGAGGAATATTGCGAAGCCAGTAGACAAGCTTTCGCTATGTCATGAAGCACGGTGTCCACTTTGGTTGAATACAGTGCGGGTATACCGTTGCCAGCTTTGGTGCTTCATTTTAAGTATGCGAAAAGTTTTTTTCGGATTCATCATCATACACGTTAGCTAGAGGTGGGGAACACCTCAGCTACTGTGACGCAATACATAGAAAAAAGGAGAAAAAATGCAACTGGTGCAAGCTGGCTGAGCTACCGGTAACGGAGGGGCATCGTTCCGGTAAGCTACCAGCCGGCTACTGTGCACCAACAAAAATTACTATGCAAAATTATATAAGGCTAAATAATGAGATCGTGGTTGGAGGGGGAGGCTAAGAGGGATGGGGTGGGACAAAGAAACTCAAAGCACGAACGCCACTGAGGTCGGCTCCTAGCCATATCACCAAGTGTGTCCAACCAAACGTGTTCATCGTCTTTCGGACGCCAACCGGGTAGCCGAGACGCTCCAACCGAGCCCAGCTCCGAAGTGAGGGACTTCATTCCCCTGGACCAAGTCATCGCTTGGCCACCCCTCCTCTTCTTCCATCCACAACCCCGGCGCGCAAACAACACACGTCGCGGAAGTCGGTGGGATGGCATGCGTAACAAGTGGCCGAGCCATCGGAGCCTGATGCGTGAAATAACGGTGCTGAGCGGTTCAATTCCTTTTCCTCTGCCATAAACAAGGCGTCGAACACGCTCGTTGCTCACGCGGTGTTTCCACCAAATGTGAGCTAAATTACGAAGGCACCGGTGGTCGAACGTAACTAGCCTCTTCAGGTCCGCTGCTTTAAGCGGCCAGGTTTCACAACCGTACAGTAGGGTCGAACGTACCGCTGCATTGTACACTCTACCCTTCAGGGTGAGAGTGATGTCGCGCCGGCGCCATAAGTGGCGAAGGTTAGCAAAAGCGCCCCGAGCTTTTGCTTTACGATTCGTGATTTCATCTTCAATCCCACGGGCGCTGATACAACTTCCCAGGTAGTTGAATTTTTGAACGACTTCTAGCTGATCCCCACCAAGGGTCAGCGTAGAAGGCGGTCCAGACCAATCTTGGAGAAACGCTTTGCACTTCGAGGGTACGAAGCAAAGCCCGAGGTGACGGACAGCTAGTGCTAATCTGTCCAGTGCTACTTGGCACGTTTGTGAGCTGTCACGGATCAGGGCAATATCATCAGCATACCCTAAGTCAAGAATTCGTTCACCTGGGAGCACATCCACACCCTCTAAGTCGTGTCCTGTGAACGCGATTTCCATGACTTCGTCAAGTTGAAGAGGAAAGGTGACAGCGGGCATCCTTGTCTCACGCCGGTGGAGATATTAAAGGGCGACGACAACTTGTCGTAAGCCCTCACTCTGCCCGAACTACGCGCATAAAATGCTCGGATAATATGCACATATTTCTCAGGTACAACTTTCCTGAGTAGACAGTCCCAAAGTGCATGTCTATCCACCGAATCGAATGCACCTTTGATATCGAGGAACACGACAACGGTGGGCCGCCAATATATGTGACCGTGCTCCAACAACTGACGCAAGGTGAAGATGTGGTCAATGCAGCCACGACCTCGACGAAATCCAGCTTGCTCTTGCGAATCTGGCTTTCACGAGTGCCAGTCGGTCTGTGAAGGATGACTGAGGCAAGCAATTTGGAGGCGATGGAGATCAGACTGATTCCTCTATGGCTGCCGCATTCCGACCGTGAGCCTCCTTTGAAAATTGGGACTATGATGGAGCGGCTCCAAACGGTTGGCACAGTTTCCTGCTCCCACAGTTTCATTAGTAACTAGTGTAAATCATCCGTAAGAGCAGGTCCCCCGAATTTGAAAAGGGCTGGAGGAAGGTCATCAGGTCCCGCGGCTTTGTTTTACTTCAACAGTCCGATCTCACGTTCCACTCCTGAGCGAGGGTGGATCCAAAGGAACAGCCCACGGGGAGCAGGGTGATCAATGGTCGGCGAGAAATCTAACAATTCCGACCGATTAAATTGCCTTTCAAAGTGCTCAGTCCAACGTTTTAAGCGTTTTGACAAGTTGTGGATAGGCTGTCCACTCTCGTCACAAATTGTTTCACTAACACCAGGTCTCCTGCTGCCCGTTACCCGTATAAGACGGAATAACTCACGATGGTTACCAAGGGCCATTTCCATTTCTGTTGCACGACGAGACCACCAGGATTCGCGGTCTCTCTTCAGGCTAGCATGGAGTTTCGCCCGGAGCTTTTTGCGAGTTTCATTGTGTTCGCTTCCAGCCGGAATATGCCGGCGAGCACCTATAAGTTCCAGGGACTGTGAAGAGACTCAATGTCCATGTTGGCTTTTAGACATACCACATGAGGATTTGCCTGCTGCTAGTAAGGCCTGTTGCATATGAGACCAGTGAGCTTCAATTGCATCTAGTGAGCGTTTATCCAACTCGGATGACAGCGTGAATTGATAGGCGTTCAGAACAGCTGGCTTCACCAGTTGGCTGGTGTCAATGCGCTCACAACATCGTCGCGGGCGTCCGCCAAAGCGCATCCGCAGGTCAGCACATGCAAGTGCATGATCGGTGTCAACACCTGTGCTCCAAATCGAGCGACAGTTCTGGACGCAGCCTCTCCAGCGGTAACTGATAGCAATGTGATCGATTTGCGTCCATAGCTGGTTCGAGGCTGGTGGGCGCCAAGTCACCCTCCGGCGGGTGCTGTGTCGGAAATTAGTGCTCGCAAGAAATAAGCGAGCATCCTCACACAAATGAAGTAACGGCTCACCGTTATCATTACGGGAGCCCATACCATGTTGGCCGCCCAGATGCAGCTCATCTGTGGATAATTTTCCAACTTGAGCGTTCAGATCCCCAGCCAGCACTACAGTGTCCGAGCTTTTTCTGTGGCGAAGGAGTTCGTTCAGTTGGCGATAGAAGTCGTCTTTTACCGAGTCATCGCTAGAGTTTGTCGGTGCGCAAGCAGCGATAACGAATAGACACCTGTTAGTCCCACGCGACTTCGAAGTTTTGAACGAGCCAGCCAATCGGACCGCACACATCCGGCTACTGATTGGAATCCAATCAACCAGAGCAGCTTCAGCCAGGGGACTCAGGGCAATACAAACACCGACTTGGCCGGTGCTCGAAGCTGCATTGTCACCGGATAGGCGCAATGAGAAAGTGCTGCTAGTGTCACCTGAAGGGGATCGCAGAGTGAGTACAGAGCTCGAGTCTTGCAGGCGGGTCTCCGCTAAGCAGCAGATATCGATCGAGAGGGTCTCCAATGTTCGGGCAAGTGCTGCCTGTTGACCGATCTGTAGCAATGTACGAACATTGAGGCATGCCAGTCTGAAGGAGGATCGAGGGCTCCAAATGGAAGCCGATGAACTGGAATGGGCCGCTTGCTTGGACATGGGCATATTGACAGTGCAGGAACGACGCTCTGCGTTCACCTGTGAGTTGAAACTAAAGACAAGCGACTCTTGAAGCAAGGTGGGGACGGCCGAGAATTGGGGGTTGAAAACGGGGGAGAAAAGTGAAGCTGGAACGGGACGATAAGGGTGAAAAAGCGCAAGGGGAATAAGAAGATGGGAAGGCTTGAGCAGTAGCATCCAAACCCCTATCCACCCT